GTCACAGTTTCCTTTTCCTTGCTGTTTTTGTCTCACAGATACACCAGAACAGAGCTACAAAAACCCATATGTTCCTTCATTTCTTACTCTTCTTACTTTGTGTTTTCAGGTGAGTTCATCAAAGCTTTGTACGAGTCAGATGAGAACTGTGAGGTGGATCCATCCAAGTGTTCATCGGCTGATCTACCAGAACACCAGAGTAACCTGAGGATGTGCTGTGAGTTGGCCTTCTGCAAAATCATCAACTCATACTGGTAAATACCAAAACAAAGTTCTGAGATGTTTTAGTTTGTTTGTTTTCTATGTGAAACTCTTTTTTTTTTTCATGTATTGTCCAATGGAAACACTTTCATTGCAAAGGATCTTAATCACAATGAAAACACTGTTATTAAAAGGACTTTAACAGGAGAATCACTTTGTATGACCATTAGCAGCAGTTATCAGTTATAAAAGATATGTTGTTCAGAACTTGGTGGATATGTGAGTTGTTAAAGTGACTACAAAACTCAAGAACAAAGTTGACAATATGACCCAACTTTGCACACTTTAAGAATCTGTGTGTGTGTGTGTACTCCTATTTATGTGATGTAAGATAAACATAATTTTTGGTCTGTTCCCTTAAAAAAGAGTCTTCTGTCCCATCTCTCCTTCTCAACAGTGTCTTTCCACGAGAACTAAAAGAAGTCTTTGCATCGTGGCGGCAGGACTGCAGTAACCGGGGTCGACCAGACATCAGTGAGCGACTGATCAGCGCATCCTTGTTCCTGCGATTTCTCTGTCCAGCCATCATGTCCCCCTCACTTTTCAATTTGATGCAGGAGTATCCCGATGACCGCACATCACGTACACTCACGCTCATCGCTAAAGTCACACAGAATCTGGCCAACTTCACAAAGTGAGTGTGTGTGTTCAGTCAAGAGGGTGTGTAGCCAGGTTTCAGCTTTTCAGGAGAGAATTTCTGAAACCGCATGCTCGTTGCCCCTGTTTCCTTTCAGATTCGGTAACAAGGAAGAGTACATGTCTTTCATGAACCAGTTTCTGGAGCACGAGTGGACCAATATGCAGCGCTTCCTGCTCGAAATCTCAAACCCAGAGACAATCTCCAACACGGCAGGATTTGAGGGTTATATTGACCTCGGCAGGGAACTCTCCACCCTGCACTCCCTCCTCTCTGAGGTGGTGTCCCAGATGGATCAGGTACTGAAGACAACATACTGCATTAGCTGTCCCTCCTCGTGTCTCACTCAGCTTGTGTTGACAATTAGCTTCGCTGCCTTATTTGTGCATTGCTTTGGACCAAAGCATCTGCCAAATTAATACATATAAATTTATCCCCATTTTATTCAAATCCAGGTGTTTGCAGATGTGAAGCTAATATTTTTATGAAATATTTTTTTATTTATGGGTGCCATGTATTATTTATAAGGATTCTGACACTGCACTAAGACTTTGGGGATTTTAAGCTATTAATTGATTTCGTAGCAAAACCAACCTTGTAGGCAACAGTAGAGTTTATGTCATTTATTATAACAATAATCATTTTGAATAATATTTCTGTGATATTTTCATTTTTTTAAATCATTTAATAGGTTTTGTTGTGGGACAAATTATCCACACACAATAATTTTCCGTATGTTTTACACCTAAGGTTCATTAAAAGGTAATTATACTGAGTGTAAAACGATATATAAATAATTCATATACTCAAATTTATAAACATAGTTAGATACATATTTAGACATTCTGGATAGGATTCAAAGGTCTTTGGTGTATTATCACAAGCTTCAGGATTTGATTCATGCTTAGACTACACTGGGATGCTTATTGTACATCAATCAATAATTTATTATTGCGTTACTTAAACAGCGCACAAGGGGAGAACACTGAAGTCTCGGAGGCTGGGCGAGGCATATTAATGGATCTACAAGGACATTTACATTAGCTCTTGTAGCAGATGGGAAACTGGGAATAATTCGATAAAGGCAGAATTTGCTTAGATGGAGCATCCAGCTCTGAGACCTTGTCGTTCAATAATTCAGAAATCACAGTGAGTCTGGCTGATACTCCAGTCCATCAGACTGGCCAGTCTATTTCATTATTTAGTGTGTTTTCTGAATAAGAGAGCTGATTGCATGGCATAGGGGAAATAACTGGGCCTAAAAGATATGCTAATGTGAAATTTAAGCAAACACTTAAATGAAATCCAATTAATGCCCCAGCTGAAGTGGTGCAGAATAATATTTAATGTGGCCTAAACTTAATTGTGCCTCTATCTTCAGAGCGCAGCCTCTAAGCTGGCTCCACTGCCCAGGATCCTGCGGGAAGTGAACACAGCTCTGTCTAACCCGTCCAGTGTCCAGATGACACCCGGGCAGTCGGCAGAGCATATGGGCTCGCCTCCTGCCGAGGCCAGCTGCAGCATCTCCACTGGCCTGCAGAAGATGGTCATAGACAGTGACCTTTCAGGGTAAGAACCATTTAAAATGTCATCTGATACACACGTACCAAGTTTATTTATTTATGCAGATGACACAATTGTGGATGTAATTGTTGAATCTTGAATATAGAATCTGAAAATAATTAGCTACAGTGGGAGTCAGGACCTTTAACATCTGGGACTCCATGAAAACTCAAAATGTATTATTTACCTTTATTGGAAAATGACTGGAAGAGGTGCAGTAGCCAATATACACTCACCGGCCACTTTATTAGGTACACCTGTACAATTGTATGCACTTTAATGCAACATTTCCACCTTAACATCTGCTTTTATGAAGCTGAAATGTCTGAGTCTTAGGTGAAATTGTCTCTATATTTTTGCCCTCCCTAGAGGCAAACATGACATACATGAGAGGATCATAATATTAGGAACACCCCTGAACATAATATACATACCATAAACCTGTGTTCTCCAAAGTCAGCTATAATGCGTTCATAGCTTTGTGTTAGTGTTGGTCATGATACAGTGAAAATGTCACCCTTGCTTGTTTACATTAGTCAGGTGGAACCTCATTGACTCTCCTGTGAATTAATACACACTCAAACAGCACCTTATCACACTTATCTCCTGTCCTCTTCCTCCCTGGAGACACAGTAGCAAGGTAACACTTTGAAAGATTAGCATGGAGGCACAGGGACCAACAGAGATGTACGGCATGACGAATAGTCAGAAAAAGCAACACCGGTAAACAAAAAATCAGAAAATCGGCAGACAGATGAGAACATGCACAAGAGAAGAAGCAGGAAGTGAGTTAGAAAAGCTTTTATCACTGTGCTCATCGGGGGCCCAGGATCAGCAGAACTAATTAAGTGATGTCCCTGTATGACCTGATGTCAGAGTCCACCCTCTTTACTGTTGGCTCATATGACCTGTGTGTGACTGTGTGTGACTGTGTATTTGTGTCGTGAATCATCATCAGCATGCTGTGAGACTGAAGCAGCATTTGAATGAGCTCTCCATTCACACCTAATTGCTTCTCATCCACCAACCACTGACATAAAAAGTAGCAGAAAGAAAGGAGACGGTGCCAAGTGTGAGAAAGGGAATGAGCAGAATGAAGAGGCGAAAGAGGTTTAAGGAGGTTAAAGGGTAATGGAACAGAGGGAGAAGGACAGAAAGAGGGAGGAGATGAGTGTGATGTGAATTATAGAGATTATTGGAAGATAAATCACATCAGTCAAGGTAATCGACTTGGGGCAATAAAGCCTCCATCTGCTGGTTGAAGGGAAGGTGAAGGGTTCGAGGGATAAAGCAGATGAGTCCAGAAGCTACACATCTTCTAAAAATTCATTGCAGTAGTTAGTAGCTATAGATAACAAATTAAAAAATCAGACTTTATTTATTTTACCTGATGGTTTTTATGCTTAAAGCAATATTTTTGGCCTATTTCTTCCAGTTTGGTTGACTTCACCAGGTTACCCTCCCCCACTCCAGAAAACAAGGACTTATTCTTTGTGACAAGGAGCTCAGGGATCCAGCCCTCCCCAGCACGCAGCTCAAGTTATTCTGAGACCAATGAGCCTGACCTGGGTATGGCCAATGGCAGTAAGAGTCTGTCTATGGTGGACCTGCAGGACCCCCACAGTCTCGAAGGTGGTCCAGGTCCAAGTACCTCAGACGCTTTGATTGAAGGGCCAGCCCCTGGTGTAGGCTGGTCAGCCAGAGTCCCACAGGCCGCCATCCCTGGAGGTCCCACTCTGAGGAGGCCAGGCCAGACCCCCACCACCCCAAGCACAGAAGGCATCCCAGGCCGACCTGCCCAGCTACTAGCCCCCCTGTCCTTCCAGAACCCAGTCTACCAGATGGCGGCATGCCTGCCCGTGTCCCCACGTGGAATGACTGACTCGGGCTCAGAGTGCCACAGTTCAGTGAGTTCCCATAGCAACAATGAGGATGGACCAGCAGGAGGGAAACACGCCTTCTTAAATCATGGTGGAGGAGGAGGAGGTGGGGGTAGCAGTGGGGATGAGTACACCAGGCGTTCAGGGGAGTTCAATCGTCGACAGCTGTCACTCACAGAAACACAGCACCAGCCTACTGTCCCCAGACAGAACAGCGCCGGCCCACAGCGAAGGATAGACCAACCTCCGCCTCAGAGCGTCACTCGGGGCCGCACACCCCCAAATCTGCTCAACAGTGGACCCTACCCCCGGCCCTCCTCTGGCAGCATGATGACATCATCACCCGACTGGCCTGGCAGTGGGGCACGGTTACGACAGCAGTCCTCTTCCTCCAAAGGTGACAGTCCCGAGGCCAGGCAGAGGGCTCAGCACAAACAGGTACGAGACTCAAACTGAACTTTGAACCGGCTTACCTTAGAATAATGGAGAATATTCATTAAGCTGTCCCAGCCTGTTTAATCACCTGAAATTAAAGTGAGCTTCTTTTTACAAAACACAAATTTGGCTCATAGCATGTTGAGAAAGGCTGCGTGGGTAGACTTGGCACAGACACTCTGCACATCGAGGCCCTAATGAACTACAGCCATTGTGTGTGTAATAGCAGTAATTTGCATACAGGCATCTCATCACTTTACCACTGTTTTACTAGTCAGGTTTAATGGGCTGAGAATAAGGGTGGTGTAGCACAATTAGCATTTTATTAATTAGCAATATATATATGCTCACACATGCACAAAAGACAACAGAAAAGAGACCTCATAAATACAAACAAATCCAGTATATTGCCAGGTTAGTGTATTGATACTGTATGTGTGTCAGTGTGTGTGGTCACGGTGGGAGGTTTCGATTTAAAATAATCTCTCTTTAAGGCCTTTGCTGCTAAGACTATGTTCATTACTGCCAGGTCAGGACTATAGGCTGTACGGTAATTAAAATACAGGTCAATGTTTGCCCTTAGCGACTGGCTGAAGGGGAGAGCATCTGCAGATCAACTATAATGCCTTGGACTAGTCTACAGGAGGGCAACACACTCTAATTTGTATGTTTGGGGAACTCTGCAAGAAGTCCAGGATTTTAAAGCCACTATGTAGATTTTAATTTTGAACATGAACCCAAACAATTTTCTTGATTTAGTGATTTTTTTTTTTTTCTCCTGCACCACCATGATTATGATGTGGTTTTGAGTGCAGTGTCTCAACAACCATTAGATTGATTTTATATTCAGTCATTTGGCCTTCAAAACTTTAATTTGTCCAGTATTTTGATGTATGTCCAAATACCTGCAAAATGATTGAATTTGCATTTATATCTTAATTTAATCTGTCAGGAATAAAATGTGTATTTCTAAATGACATGAGTCACTGACAAGGGGACAAAAGCCAACAGGCTGAAAGTTTCATGAGTAGTCGGATGCAGACTTTCTTCTTTTAGTTTGTCTGTTTGCACATATTAACATTCAGATATTCCAGCCTTTTCACAAGCCTTCAATGCAAATGAGTGTTTTGGACAATAAAAACATCCTACATTTCTTCACATGCCCTGTAACAGCCCACAGCTGCCTTCTCTACTTATCTATCCTTACTTGCTATCAGATGCCTCCAGGCTGATTTGTGTCATGCTGATTCAAATTTCACTCCTTTAATCTCACAATATATACATTCCTTGTACTATTTAGCCTAAATAATGTACAAAGTGTGTGCTACAGTATGTGTGAGCTTGAAGACAGGAGTGTGTATCCATCCCACCTGCTGCTTTCAGTCCAGATGAACTGATACATCTCAAGCTTATTTCTGTTGTTTCTGTGCTGTTATTGCAACCTGCCCTCCTTCCCCTCCCTGTCACTTGCACTCAGCTCATGTATGTGTGTGTGTGTGTGTGTGTGTGTGTGTGTTGTGTTGGTTTCAATAGGCCCCCTCCCCAGTGAACCCCAGTGCGCTGGACCGCACAGCAGCCTGGCTATTGAATATGAATGTGCAGTATTTAGACCATGAGGGGATGGAGCCCGAGTCACTGAGAAACAGAGAGGATCTGACTGAGGTGGAGAAGGTAACCTGCCTCCCCATCTAACCTTTGACCTTTACCAACCCCTTCTTTCACAAATCACCTCAACCTTCAGCCCTGATATCCCACTGAACTCACCTTCCTTTCTTTACCTCTCATTAGTTTCCTCATATACCTCACTCCTTAAAACACACTTAATTATTTTCTCTATCTACTTCCACCTTGCTCTTGCCTTTCCTCTAAGCCTGAGTTCCATTAGACATAACCAAAATATCACTTAAATAGGATATATCATGCCTCAGTCTGGCTCTATATGTGATGCCATAGTACCTCAACCTTCCACTTGCTTCCAATTGCCTTTCCAGTTGTGCTCAGGCTGTTTATCTGTCATGGTTTTGGCCATTTTCATAGCAAACACTGAACTTGCTTGTGGTTGTCAGCTTGCAGTACAGTCATAGCAAGAGGAGTGAGGGCAGAAAGTTGTTAGTGCAGGCAAAATAATAAGCAGGAATATTAGGGTGGTTGTCAGCAGGTGCCAGTTCTGAATATCAGGACAAGCCAGGATTATTTTCATTATCAGTAAATTTGATTATTTTTCCTGTCACATTTTCCCACAGTCCAAGAACAGCAATTCAGATGACACTTAGTTTGACCAACAGTCCCAAATCTGAATATAGTCTGTTTACAGTCGTATATAACATGAAAAGCATCAGATTCTCCCTTGTTACTAAATAGTTAATCGATCATAAAAATAATTGTAGCTTTATTGTCTGTTGAGCAATTAGCTGCCTAATTGCTTGGTTTGGAGGCCTTAGCTTCCTATAAACATCGTGTCTCCAGATAGATTTTCCATATTGTACACTGAGCAAACCTAAAGAAGCTGATTGGAAACAAGTTGTCTCGTAGAAATGAAGAAGAAGCTGTAGATATTTAATGTGCAATGAACTGTTAATGTAACCTTTTACTTTATTAAAAAATGTCCCTCCACCTTGAGAAACTCCACACTCTCTCACAACTTGCCCCTTCCTTCTTTGGAGTGAATCTGGCCAAAGTAAGTGCGTGCGTGTGTGTAATAGGCATGTTTGAGCTTGTGTGTGCTTGCATTTATGTGAGAGACAGAGAGAGAAAGAGGCTTTTAGCTGCTTCCTCTGCCTACATTCCCTGCTTCTCTTCCCAGCAACCTTTAACCATACACCCTCAGCTTCACTTCCAGGCTTTGATTGGCTGCCACATGCACCCCCATTATTTTTTTCCATCCATAATGAGTACAAACCTGTCATCCTAACATAGCCCATATGTTATGGAAGCCAGCAGCCCAGGCAGGGAGAACAACCAAAGAAGGCAATATCTTCAGTCTCAACAAAGAATCCACAGACACCTTAAAATAGCAGAGCAGCAACAAGAGCAAGATCAAGAGTACATCTTCCACAGCAGCTTAGACACGGGCTGTAGCTAATGGTCCATATAGTCTCACCATTACAGCCCCCACAGTAGAAATAATTTGCTTGTTTTGATAAGAACGCTAGTAAGTGCAACAACAAGATACAATTAGCAAACGTTAGTTGACTTCAGAAACCCATACTTCACACTTAGTTTTAATTTTCCAGTTGAATATCTAGACCAAGTGCTTCATTGCACAGCTTATGTGAAACACAGACAGGAAATTTAGCATTTTGTACAATTTATGTCCAATTCTTTACATCCAGTGATGCAGAGGATTTCTGTTAGTGTCATTAGGAAAGATGCAAGTAATTTTTTTTACTATACTTTAATGCAAGATAGCACAAATGTACAGCTGCTTACACTGCATACAATTAAAAAGGAACATACATACCAAAAGCTGACAAAAAACATTAGTGCATACTGTATTACAGTAAATATACTGAATCACTGTGGATCAAATAAAGAAGAGGAAGGCATCTGATTAATTCTTTTTTATTATTATTGACTGAATTTTTCAAACAACAAATGAGAGAAGTTTACCCATATCTACAGTAGAACCACTGTGCAGAGTCTATGTATTGCACATTTGATGGGGACCAGTGCACAACTGAGGGGCAGTCACAGAAAAGGTAGATGTCATTCATTCTCAGAGAATCTAGTGACAAGCGCAGACAGATATTAGAGTTGGAAGGAGGAGTGGAGAAATCTATTTGAGGTCACTGTTCCTCATGGGGTGATGGAAAAAATGCCTGTGGTAGGCAGGAAGAGTGATGTGGGAAAATAAGTAGAAGGTGACAAGGAAAGAGAAATGATTCCAGCCGCATCCTCACTGTGTGGATGCTCAATTTATCTTTCAGTGTTCTCCATCAGTTCTTGCTGAATAATGTGTAATGCTTCAGATATAATACACAGGTAAACTGGTCATTTTGGTTTTTGTTTAGTTGAATTTAGGCTGTAATTTGTGGTTTGAAAATGTTCTGTGAATAACACTGAATGATTGATACTTCAGTCATGATTTGTTTTGGAGGATGTTTGACTTTTAGCTTTCAGATTGATATTATCAACCAAAAAGAAGAAACATCAAGATGAGAATGAAGCCTTAAAATGCGGCAATATTCTATAAAACGATTGAGAAGACACAGACTTAAGAAAAGCAAACAGATTGTGCCAGAGAAATGATCTGGCAATTTGCTAGCACACTAGGCCACTGCTTTGACCTAGTCTGACTACTGCGTGTATTGCCATGAAATTTTGCCAATTAGCACATGTTAGCATGCTAACATGATCTGCGCTGCAGTAAGATGGTGAATTTGGTAAGCATTACAGCAACAAAAATGTCACTATGTTGTTATTATGAGCACATATACATATCAGCCCACTGACATTAGCTCAAAGCACCACTGTGCCTGAGCCTCACAGAGCTGCGAGCTCCTGGTCTTGTTTGTTTCCTTGTCTGCAGTGTTACAGTCACAGGTATTTCCAGTGACATGCTGACTGACCACAATATCCTTAATGTGTTTTTTTTTTTGTTTTTTTTATACCAGAAGAGATTTGATTCCACCATTTGGGTGCCTGAGGAAAACTCCTTCAAAAGCCTCTCTAAGGTCCAGCGAGAGGTCAGGGGGAGCTTTTCAGAGCTTATTTCACAGATCAGACTCCTACTTCAGAGGCTGCATCCCTCCCTTTTCACCACCTCCCTGTCGTAATTCATTCTAAACGTCTTTTCTCTCTCTCTCTCTCCTTGTTTAAACTCAACAGGTCTGTGGTTTCTGAGCCAAACTCGAGGTCTGACTGGGGAATTTGACAGTTTTGATTTAATTCTTGCAGTGAAAGCTTTGCTAAAGATAAAATGATCTCAGTGAATATTGGTTGATTGGAAAGCAAAGTGATCATTTGATTAAAAGGCCAAAAGATTTGTGAGGAAAGTTTTGTAGTGCAGCTATATAGGTTTAGTACAAAAAGAGCTATTATGAGAATTGCTAGTAAATGAACCGTGTGATTCCCAGAGAGAGGCTGTGTCTCTATTCCAGACAGAAATTACACTCCATCTCAGGAACAACAGGACATAATCTCCGGCCTGATTGAGAGATTTCTTTTTTGCTTTTGTCAGCTCTGGTAATGAAGACGGGGGTTCCGCTGATAAGGTTGATGATGGCTATGATCATGATGATAATGACAACGGCAATGATGAGATTCTCATTTCTCCGCTTCTTTGTTCAGTACCAGCAGGAGATCGCAGTGCTGCAGGAAAAGCTGCGAGCGTCAGTGCAGAAGCTGGAAGAGTATGAGGCTCGTCTAAAAGGTCAGGATGAACAGGCCCAGAAGGTGCTGATGGAGTACCAAGCCAGGCTGGAGGAGTCGGAGGAGCGCCTGCGCAGACAGCAGGATGACAAGGACCTCCAGATGAAGGGTATTATTAGCAGGTAGGGAGAAGTACAGCTTTGTGCATCAGTTCTATTACTGAGTCATTATTGAAATCTGCCCCGTAACACCTCCTCCACTTGTTTATATGTCCAGGTTAATGTCAGTGGAAGAGGAGCTAAAGAAGGATCATTCAGACATGCAGGCAGTTGTAGACTCTAAACAGAAGATCATCGACGCACAGGTCAGTTTGCAATTTTACAGTTTGTTGCCTGCCAGAAAATTCTAGCAGCCATTGATTGTACAGGTTGCATATGAGTTTGTAGATGCTTTCTAGTGCAGTCAGTATGTGGAGTCACTTGGGTGTTTTGCTTGTGGAAACAAAGGTTCGCTGAAATACACAGAGATCTCTATAGTCCACAGTGGTGATTTTTATATATATATAAAACTGTAGAATTATTGCTTTAGAGCACATGGCTGCAAGTAAATCTAATTGTTGATTGTTGGGAATACAGTGTTAAATGAAGCAGGAAATGAGCGTGTGGGCACTGAGGATTAAACAGTGCTGAAGTGTTTGTTACAGTGGTCTCTGGATACCATTTCTTCTATACTCTGGATAAAGTGCACTTGATATGCATGCAAACAAACGGATGCAAATGTGCATCTTTGAAAGATAATGTCAAAGTGAATTTACAACACAATGTGGTAAAATACAGCTATACTGCAACATTGTATTTACACAAACATGCATAGGTGATCGATCTCCTTCATGCCCAAACTAATGTGACTGTGCATCTGCAAATAAAAACATCACAGTAAAGCAATAAGTTTGTCTCCCTCAGCAAACAGGCAGAGAAAAAGGAAATAAAGAAGCAAATTTAAAGATTGGGAAACTTGCTTCTGTGGTTCAGCCCTACCTCCTTTAACAGCTTTTTAAGTGGCATATAATTTGATGCATTCACTAGATTTTCTCTCATAAATTTTATGAAGGTAATAAATTGTGCTAGAGGCCCAGCTGGTCATATGTCATACTCAGCTACATGGTAGTTTCCTGTAAAACACTTGTTTGACTTTATCTCAACAAATTTGGAGTAAATGTGTTCCCAAAGTCCATTAAATTAACCGTAAATAACTGCTAACTTACTGGGAGGTTTGACAGCCCTGACTTTTTTTTTGGGTCTGTCTGTCCAGAGGAGCATTCATCACCTGCCCTGTTCTATCCTCCTTGACATCCCCATGGAGTTCTGGGGTCCCCCAGTGCCACTACTGAGACTGCTAGATTTATGTTTGTGTGTGCTGATTTCTAACAGCACAGACCTTGAAGCTCCACATTTTTTCTTTTTACTCTTGGGTGACATTTTTGTGACAAACCTGTCACCAAAAACATAGCTTTATTTCAGGGCATTGGTTATGCTAATGATTATATTTCTCAAATGTGAATCCCCTCATTACAAAAACAAATGGTACACAAGGCTCTCGAACAACCTCCACCAGAGGCCGAAGAAACGATAGTGACCTGCCTGTAAATTTAGACCCTACAGTTTCTGTAATTGTATTTGTGTGTGTGCGCACAGGAGAAGCGTATAGCATCGCTGGATGCAGCCAATGCCCGTCTGATGAGTGCTTTGACCCAGCTGAAGGAGCGCTACAGCATGCAGGCCCGCAACGGCATCTCCCCAACCAACACCACTAAACTGCAGATTACTGAGAATGGAGAGTTCAGGAACAGCAGCAACTGTTAGTCTAGCATCTGCCCCCAATCAGTGTGGAGCATCTGCAAGTGTACAGTTACTCAAGAAGACATCTGAGTGCATGCCTGTGTGAAAGACTGTTAAGGGTGTGTGTGGTTTTTTTCTTTTTAAACGTGGACCGTGCTTTCGGAGGATACGGTGTAGGAGTGAAGATATCGCTCTGAGGGGCCATCCAGAAGGGGCGGGACTTCAGCATGACAGACAGATCACCAGACAGCCTTCATTATGAGGGTGATGGCCCAAGGAGGCAGTGCAGAGCTTGTACATATGAAAAGCTGTCCATCATTCAAACTCTTTGCCAGTGGATGTACACAGTTGCTGGGACAATTCCTGCTTCTGCCTGGGACGAACCACTAGAAAACTACACAGTGATGACCACCACACACCGTTGCCCTAGCAACCCTCCTCTCCTCCTCTTTATTCTTCTCCTTCTTGACGACCAAGTGGACCCACATAAAAACAATAATACACATTGAGGATTATCACTTTAGTTGTCTTGAGGATTACTTTCTAGCGCTTTACTTTAAATTGCTTTTAATGAACCAAATAGGGGCTAAAAACGTAACATTTTTAGTCCAAAATATTCTTTATTTCCCCTTTCACTCCTTGGGTGTGTTACTGAGTGTCCCCCTGACCCCTTCCCCCATCCCTACGTAGTGCACTTTGTGAAAATCTATTGGTACATGAAACGCCTTAAGTAATGAACACACCTCAACTTTATCCCACAGCTCCCCTCTTTCCGCAAAAAAGGCACAACCTATACTGTGGATTTGTAAAGGATACAAAAATACATTGTACACACTTTAATGTATTATGAACACTAAAGTAAATGAATTCTATGTGATGGTATATTAATGAAATTTAATAGAGATTATGCTTTTTTTTCCTTCTATAGAGTATACACACATATAGCTATATTTGATAATCTCAAATATAAAAGCAACCCTTTAGAGTGAGATGTAGTTTTATTTTTCTTCTCTTGTGATGAAAGACTGTAGCGTGTAACTTGCTTCAAAGACCGGGGGGAGGGACCACACCGAGCAGTGATCAGCACCGTCGTCTGTCATCCTTCAAATCTCCATGATGCTTAACCCTTTACATACATTATGCACTACATGTGAGAGAAATGTGTGTACTGGACAGTAGTTTAAACACCTCCAGCGTAGCTTGCACAACTTGCACAGTCAAGTGATCAGTTCTTCTTCTGGTGCTTATCACTGCTCTTATAGATACAGCTAAAGCCAACCCAGATTTGGATTTTAACATGTGGTCTTCTTTCTCTAGTGGCACAAGAGCTGTTGAGAGATGTGTTTAAATACCCTCATACATACTATACACTGGACTGGTGAGCCATTGTTATAATGGCCTCCTTAGTTACAGCATTTTCTCTCTTAACTGCTTTGTTTGTCAGTGGTAATGAAGTATGCTGCATCCAAGCTGTGACTATTAATCCTTGTGGCATCATCTCTCCTCTTTGCTTCTCTTACTCACTTCCACCCTTTTCATTTCCAAATCTTCTGAATGTGAAGATGCTAACTTGGTCAGTCTTAACATGGAGTTCGGTCCTTATCGCTCCTGTCCTTGCTCCATCCCATCTCGGAATTTGCATTGTGTATATTTTTGTATTCCCTGAGGCTCTGTATGCTTCATCCTTGCTCTAGAGCCAGTGGTAGTGTCAGTATCACCATTTGTTTTCTTCTGCTGCCAGTTGGAAGGTGATGATGATGATGAATGGCTTGCTGCAGACATATACAGTGAATATATGATAACTGAGTGTAACAAGAGGCTGGACAGCCTGGGAAAGTGTAAATACAATGCTCACACTATTTTTACCTAATGTTAACAGAGCTTTTTGTAAATGCATCATGCTCAAATTCCGCTGTATCCTTAAGGATATTGTAAATACAGAATAGCTTAGTCATTTGTCCTCACTGGGTAGAACTTTACAATTAAATTAACATTTCAACGTTCTCCCTGTTTAAGCTATTGTGTTGTATTTAGAATGTAATGTCACTAGCCAAAAAAAAATTAAGTAGGAGTTTTACTTTTGGGAAGTTGAGGAGGATGCCTTGTTGGTTTGTGGCCAGTCTCGATGAGATTCACAAGCACAATCCTCAATTCCTCATCAGTCTAGCTCTATGCACTTTGACGTTTGATGGTTATTGTTTATAAATTGCTTTTTGTATGTGAGCACATCACCAGTTTCAGGCGTTTAAAACATGGCAAAGTGAAAAAGTGACGAAAGGGATTTTCGGTATAGCTCATTCACAAATGGTTATCAGAATTTTTTTTTTTTTATTTTTTTTAAATATCCCCCTTTTGAACAGAAGCAAATGGGCTCAGTCAAAGAATACTCTGGTAGCAACTTATCTTACCAGACATCCAGCTTTAAAACTTGTAAAACTGCAGAGATTAAAGCGAGACTATACTTTCAACAGAAGAAATAGGAAAGCAGAAAAACACACTGTTGCTCAGTACAGTGACTTTAACAGCTACAGTTGTTCTATTTGCTTTTAGTGGCTAATGTCAGCAAACTTTAAGCAAATTAAAATTTTCTTTGCTTGTTTTCCACTGTGCTGATGCAACAAATGGGCTTTTAGCATTTACACTAGCTAAACAGTCAGAAATGTCTCTGTTAACATTACACTACCTGGTCTGTTATGACAAGTAGGTTTTTTTTTAATTTAGGTAAATTTTTGTTGTAAAAGACCAATTACTGATTGAGTAGGTTGAATTCATGACTCTTCTCCACTTGTGCTACTGTTACAGCAGCTTTGAAATTTAGCTAAATGCTAATGGTTTCTCTAAAGCCCCTTTTCCATCGCCTGGTACCGGCTCAACTCAGCTCGGCCCTACTCGCTTTTGGTAGTGGCTGCTTGATTATCCACTGCAGATGGTCCCCTCTCAGTGTAACTGGTTGTCATAGTAATACATTAATACACTGCCATGACATTGTCAGCAACCCAGACTGTAACAATGGAGGACATCGAAGGTATGCTGTTCTTGATTCGCAGTATGTGGCTACTTTTAGTTAGTACAGTAAAGTAACACTTGGTGTTAAATAATGCTTCTTGAAATGGCACTTTGTTTTAGATGTCTCACACATCGATGACATGATTTCTCTGAGCAATCACTAGTCTGCACTGTTTACATGTCACCATTTGGTATTGCCTCTGCTCGCTTGGGACCTCGACAGAGGTGATACCAAAAAAGTCCCTTTTCCATCATTGGTACCGGCTCAACTTTACTCTACTCTACTCTACTCACTTTTTGTACCAGCTGCTTCATTTTCCACGGCAGATAGCGCCTCCCACTGACAGCAGCATAGCTGGTTGTCACATTGACGCAGCATTACACTACCGTCACATCATCAGCAACCAACACAGTAACAATAGAGGACATCGAAGGTATGCTGTTCTTTATTCTCGGTATGTGGCTGTCACAGCAAAGAGATTTTGTTTCATAAGCGGCTGAAGGAAGCAAAACAAAAGACTGCTGAAACAAACAGGAGAGCTTGGCAAGTCTGCAGTCTTTTCATGTCACTATTTGGTATCACCTCTGCTGACTTGGAATCTCAATGGAGGTGATACCAAAAATAGTACCAGGTACTATTCTCAACATTTGACTGATGGAAACGCAAATAAGGCAAGACGAGGTGAGCCGAGTCAAGCCAATACCAGGCCATGGAAAAGGGACTAAATAGTACCAACATTTGATGGATGGAACAGTGTGATTCGAGCCACACCAGGCTGTGGAAAAGGGCCTGAAGTGGTAAAATAGCTACTGAGTGCCTGTTATGAGCTGTAGTTTTTGGTGGCTGCGATTGGTGATTTCAGATAGTAGTATGTAGATTTTGTAGCAAAAGGTTATATAAGAAGATTAGGGCCACTGGAACAATAACATTTGAATTCTGACTTTAAAATCTGCTTTTTAAAGTCAGAATTCTGAGTCACAGCGAGGGGGATTCCTCGCTCTCCATTGACTTTGTATTGAGTGAAAGTGTATTTTTACAAGAAAGAAAAAATGCCTAAAAGCAGATGTGTGACAAGATGCACTACCAACAAGGCAAAATACCCAATTAGTTTTAGAAGCTACCAAGCAAAAAAAAAAAAAAAACAACACTGAAGCTTTAAGAAAACGTGTGGCATTAGCAGGATCAACAGGAAAACAGAGATCCTGATACTCACTATATGTTTGTGTACAGCAAACATCTTGGTAGTTTACATGTGCAGTAGCTAACTAAGGTAGCTAAAATAGAGCCAGATCTAGAGGGAAGTTGGGGTGCAGTTGATAACTACAATGATGATGCAATAGCAAGCTACTGTAGTTAGCTAAGGCACTTGCAAACATGTTACTGCATAGGTTTCAGATTTATAACAAACTTTGACACACTGTCTCAATGCTTTGGCTTAACTTACAGAAATCTAGTAACCTAAACTTATATTTCACTAAACAGTGAGAAAATGCTTGCTGCACACAAAGCTGTTTGTGTAAGGATCCCAGATTTAACCCCATTCTTCCTGCTACTGCCTCACTTTTGTCTTCTTAAAGCTTAGTTTTTTTGTTTGTTTTTATTTTGTTCAGCACCTTTTAAAACTGTCACTTTGGGTTCTTTATTGGTAGTGTATCCTGTCACACAGCAGTTTTTAAGTATTTCTCAGTTTTATGTAAAATGACACTTAATTCAAAGTCAATGGAGCAAGATGAATTGTTCACCCAGTCTCATAATTAACACAGGGGTTGAAACACTGCAGAACATGCCTGAAAATCATTAGGTTTTTACAGATTCTTCAGCATCAAAGTAATTCGGTGATGTTCCAATAATACATAGCAAAAATGAACTGTTAATAAGCTAATTCAAAATACTTATTGTTCCAAAACAAACGAATATAGGCTGAAACTGGGCTTGTTTTGGAATGCTAAGTATGCTGAATTGGCCAGTAACAGTTCAATTTTGCGATGTACTATTGGATGGGCTGACGACTATCACTGAATTATTTTGACACTAAAGAATTTAAGACCTGATGATTTTCAGGAAAGTTTTGCTCCAACCCCTGCATTATCTCAGAGTTATGAGAAAAAGGCTTATTATGACTTATCATAATTACAAGACAATTTTTTACTTTGGTGAATGCAATGTGCTTTCATAGATTTTATTTTTACTGTGGCTATAACCCTCTTAAGTTAAAAGTAATTACTGATTGAGTTTGCTTACTTTATGAAATTGTTACGGTGGCTTAACATTTTGGCTACAGGCAGTTAAGCTAAATGATAAATTACTGTTGAGAGTTTACGTTAGCTAGACAGTTGGAATTGGTCCAAATGATCTGTTACAGCCAGTTACTGCTGTGGCTATGTTTGCAAATTTCATGTAAATTAACTCCACTGACTGAAGACTTCACAGTTGTTCTACTGTTATAATAATGCATAGCATTTCAGCTAAATGTTAAAAAGATATGATAGGTCTAGTGTTTAGCACTGGCGGTTGTACAGCAAGTTAGTCTCGCTTTAAACTGTAGTGTACAATAACAAAAGTTAACTGATTCAGATTATAAGGAGATGTATGCCAATCGGTGTATCTGCACAAACTAAAGCAGAAGACGCACTCAATGTTTGGTGTCTACAGAAGAAAATTAAGGCCACTATAAAACATTTAAGTTCTTAATTTTTCTCAGAATACTTACTTTAAAAATGTTTATAATAATGTGAGAAGTACAATATAAAGTATTAGGTGTATTCTGACTTTTTTTTTCCCCTCAGAATTCAGACTTTATTTCAAATTTAAAAGTCAACTTTAAAGTCAGACTTCTGAGGAAAAGGACTTTTTAAATTTTTTTACAGTGGCCCTAATCCTCTTCTGTAGGTGTCTAATTAGACTTCACCTAGTAATTCATTTATGGCATCCATGTTCCCACCTCAGTTCCAGTTACAAAAAGTCAAAAAACCATGAGCTCACTCTTTACGCAGTTCAGCCAGTCCAACAAGAGATCAATCAAAATATAAAGCTATAAAGTAAAAGATGTATGTTTTCTATTATCTTGTAGAAAATACTTTTGTAAGTATGTTGAAAGTATAAAGTATTTGCTGGATTCTGCTTCCTTTGATGACAGTGATAAAACAATAATGTACAGAGGAATTGGTGTTGACAAATTGTGGCAGTGCAATTTATGTACATTTGCAACTAGACCTATTAAAGTTTTATTTAGCTATTTTAAAATTTCTTCCCATTGTCAGTCTGATTGCCTTGCTTGCATTGTTCTGGGATGCTTTATAATGAAATGTAAATGAAGCTTAGAGTGCACGCATGATGAATTACATGTTCATTAAATACTCAGACCTAGATTAATGAAAAGCAGCTATAGAGAGAACATATGTTCAGACTTAAGATCCAATGGCAGAGTGAGAGAGTGATTTTGAGCAGTGCCCACTTCTCAGAGTCTGACCTACATACTGCCTGATTGTTATTCCCCTCAGAGGGTAGGAGAAAGCCTGAAATGGCATTAACAACAAAAATGGAGGCGATTTTGTAGCAAAATGTCTCTCTCAAATGGCTGTAGCTGTAAATTGAGTTGATACTTAAATAAAAAATACCTTACACTATACTGTAAGTATAGCTGAAAGGCAGGAGGAATGCAACATGCAATAAGAGTCTTAAATATTACAATTAGATTATTATAAAAGTATGTAACAAGAGGCCCTGTTGTATTTATATTAAAAAAACAGCTCCTGTGCCGTTATTTGTTCCCTAAGAGGCTCAATTATTTCTTTGGTCAAGTGGAACATACTCCCTGGGGCAAAGATAAAACCAGCTACTAGTCTGACCACTTGCCAACACTCTCCCACCATAGTTCGAAACTATCAAAGGGAAGCAAACATCCACAAATTAAGCCACTTGTTGATGACAACTTCCCGTCAAACACACTGCAACAGCCAAAAAGCACAAACTTGAATTTCACTCCACAACAAAAGCAAAAGTTGTAGCTTGCCTTCAAATCCTGCTTACAGATTAATACATATGTAATATAGCAACACAAAGTACAATTTTTTTGACTGCAAGACTATTACTGCTTTTAATTAGGGAAGGGTGAGTTTGTCAGGGTAACAGCTGAAATAAATTTCGTTTAGTGATCAATTAAAATTGGCAATTATTATATTATGTATTTACAGCTAACACATTCAGTAGCAGACAAAACAAGATGCTTGGTGTATGCCTGAGCAAACTAGCAAAGGATAAGACAGAAATTTGAAGTGGGTGATGGACATCTCAGCTGTCGAACCACTGGGCAACACCAACAACAAAAACTGAGACACTACAGCAGCAACATTCACTGGCAATGACAGCCTCTGTGACAGAAGGTGAGGAAACAATGGCAGATGGTTACGCTATCAAAGATATCGAAAGTCCTAAAATGTAAAAAAAAAAAAAACTATTTCAGACTCATCGTTGAAGATGTACTGTACACAGCACAAACTGCCAACACTTCTGCCTTTACATTACATATCATCCCCTAATGATGTGACAAATGATGCCCTTTAATGAGCCCATAGGGGGAATCATTCTGTGGTGGGACAGTAATAATTCACTGTACATATGAGCTGTGCAAGGTATTTGCAGCGGCATGCACATCTACAGTAGACTTAATGTGATTTGCTAAAACAAATTAACCGATGTTTGGCACATTTAAGTGTGCACTGATAGCTGCCAAATTCAAATGCCAGAGATGGAATGTTCCATTAGACTCAATAACACAGCATAACACGCACATTTACAATGTAAAGAGCAAACATTTATTCTTTTGCAGCTCTATAACATTTAATTCATATTAATTAGTGTTAATAACCTAAAATCTACTTAATGTTATCAAATACATACTGCAGTAAATGTCAGTCCTATAGTATTTACAGCAGTATCTTTTACTGTACACGTTTACTTTACTTCGTTATACAGGGTTTTACAGCAAAATCTGAATCGCATTTAAGAAACAATGCATTTGTTTAAATTCAGAAACTTCATGCCATGCAATTACTTCTGACATTAATTCCTAAGGCAGTTCTTTAGCTACAACGTCATGATCATAAAAACATGTTCTCTCAAGGTCTGATGCTGCCAGACCAGATTAGCTGCAAAGTGAAAGATGGTAAGTGGCGGCATGGCCTTTTCCCTTTGACAACTTATTCTCTTAACTCATCACTAATGGGCTCGTGGAGCTCGGACACACAGCTGAGCCCCTGGCTGTAAATAAGCTTTCACCACTGAGCTAAACTTAAATAATTACACACACACAAGCACACAATATGCCCAGACAAATGCTCAGTCACCCTCACATCCATTTCTGTGCAAATGCAATAGTTCAAAGAGAAAACTCAAGAACAAAACACACATACTAAGGATACTCCCTTACACTCATTTATTTACTGTATGTGTGAATTGAGTAAATCTACTGAAGCAGAGCATCTAAAATTAGCCCTAGAAAAAACTAAATAAAAAATTGTTTCAGTGTATGTGTTGCCATATAAAGGTGAAGAGAAGCAAAACAGCTACCCTGTAGAATCAGTAAGGAATATTAAAAGCAGCCAAATTCTCCTCCTGACTGGGCCATAGTGTTCATGATCACCATTAGGAGAGGAAGAAATGCACCAACCTCGTTTCCACGCCAACGCACCCACAGATGTCTTCCTCTTTTGAAGAAAGAAGTAATCAGGCTGAGAACAGTCCTTCTGCTAGTTAACCAGCAGGAGTCGAGCTACTCCTTCTCTCAGCTCCCATCATACCCCCTGGTGGGAGCTGTCAAAGAAGAGCTGGACACCCAGTGTCCCTGTGGAAAAGGCTAAATGCAGTTCAGGAGTTGGGTGACCGTCTGAAGCCCTCTCTTGTCAGTTCTCCACGTTGGCCCTGAGTGTGCGAGGGTTGAGTCTTTGATGCAGTCGGTAGTCCTGGCTGGCCGCCCTTCGTAGAGGAGCCGGGGAGCTGAGCAGAGGGTTGAGGCTCAGCGTCTGAGTCTTGATGGCTCGTGGAAGCGCCCTGCTGCAGCTCAAAGAGCGTCTGTCTTCAATGCCCAACTGGGCCTCGAGCTGGGCCTCGCACAACTCCAGCAGTGACACTACCTGCTCCCTCAGCACCAGGGATTTGAACCTGCGACCTGCCAGGTAGAAAAAGGCCTCCACAAATGCTTGTAGTCCCATACCTGAAAGACAGGAAGTGTGGCTGAGGTGAGCACAAAGACACATGTAGAAGAACTGCTGAATAAAGAAATTATACCAAACAAAAATAAAATCTCTCTCCAAAACTTAAATCATATCAACTTTTAAAACTTTGCTGCATATACCAACCAAAGATTGCCATTATTTGTAATATTAAATTTTCAAGCTTCTCTTGGTTCCTCACAAATTCTCCCAGTGCACATACGGTACACAGACCCTGACCCATGATGTAAATTACAGGCCTCTGTCATCATAGACCCTGACTTCAGTCTCCCTGAATACATGAGCTCATTCTATTCAGCACACAATCTCCTCTGTACAGACCCTTCCATCCTGGTCCCTGTGATCTCCATCCATCTGCTATGCCTCACAAACAGTCCTTGTGAGGTGCAATGTCTGAATAATTCATGTGGGGTAGTGTCTTCGCTGTCACATTGTGATCTCAGCTCATTTCAATTATGGGAGCAAGGTGTCAGAGGGAATCTGACAAAGAATGACAACCAGTTATCTCCGAGCACATTATTTGCTCTGGTTCTCAAGAACACCCAGCTCTCTGTCCTCTACATGTTGTTTCTTTGTGAGACTTTCATTTTAGCATGCGTGTGTGTTACCTGCTTCTCTAGAATCAGGAACTGCTCCAGACCAGCGACGCGTGATGTCTATGTAGAGGATGTCCACTGAAGCCATGGTGAAGTTGCTGTTGCTCAGTTTACAGGTCCTAAAAACAACCAGGAAAAATAAAGTAGGCTAGTCAGAAAATAAACAAATTGAGCTGTCTCAATAGCCATGGGCAGACAGTGTATCACTAGATACCAGACCAGCATCTAACTGGAGCAAAGTGACATTTGCATGCAAGTTTACATCTGACCACAATCACTAATGTGAGCAGCTAATTAGCTATCTGGCCTGCAAACTGACATTAGCAGAGCAAATTTCATTGTAAAATGTTGAATGAACAAGCTAAGTTCATTAGCAGTAAAGCTAATGTTGGTCGTTGTTCAGGGCCTGCAGCTCTTCCGTTGTGTAGCTGCTGTCTGGCTCAGTGTGATGGTCTGGTTGTGTGTATCGTCCATCATGGCTCCTCAGAGATCCCTCCTCACTCCTCAGAGCAGAAGACAGAGAACCAGAACCACTTCTGGATTGAAGCAGGAGCGAGGTAGGGAGGGATAATTAAATAAGGTAATTACAATGTACCCAGTGAGAGTGGTTTCTAATATTGTACCTCATGTATACAAACAGGAAGGACAAAAAAAAAAAAGTAGAACGCCTATACGTAATTAGGTACGTCTTATGTCTCTTATAAGATCGTTTCTACATCCTCAGCCGACCCAGAAGTCATTCTGGTCAACCGAGGACGTAGGACATTCCAAGTCTTTTATTTTGGCTCTGAGGACCGAGGACGGTGCTGGAGGAGCCATGACTGAGGAAACATGAGACCATCCTTCGTGGACGTTTTTTGTAAACTGACACACCCCTTTATCTGAAATCAGTTGGTGATTGGAGACTTCAGAAGAAGGATCTGAGGAAAGGATGTCTCATGCTGTTAATACCGCATTTCCTCGAGTCCTCTCTCATATTTTCCTCGCATCTTATGTAGGAGGGACTAAGATATAAGGGAAAGATGCAAGTGAGGGAAATGACGGTCCTTATAAGAGACATGAGATATACCCATAGAGTACAACAATATATGTAACTGTAACCTTAATAATAAACATATATCTGAAAATGTCACCAGAAACTGACCATTTTGAGCCTCTTAAAGGTAGAAACAATGGCAGATCTGTTGTAAGGAATTGCAATAGATTGCACAGATGTACCTAATAAATGGCTACTGAGGGTACGCATGCTGTAACACACACACACACACACACACACACACACACAAAGTTCACAGTCCCCAGATGTACCTGTTAGTATTAAGACCAACATCTTTACTGGTCACTGCATGACATTATTTTTAAGAAAACACCAAAGGGCATTGCTGTTAGCAGGAAACTTGTATCAATCCAGTAATCATGAAAAGAATAGTTAGTTCATTGTGGTTGTGTCAGTCTAAATATTGCTCACTCACATCTTGATAAAACTTCAATTAACAAATCTTTTTAACTGTATGTGGTCATTTGAATAATGTATTGGCATGAATATTTTTATATTACTGATTTGGTTGTGATCCAATAAAATAAACATGAAATCTGCACCTGATGAAGGTTCGGAAGGCGGTGGGGCCCAGACGCATGTTCCCCTTGACCCCGAGGAAGCGGATGAACAGAGCTGCGATTCGCTCCGCCAGCCGCAGGTAGTTAAACTGTTTGGTGTACTTGGGGTAGACCGGCTTGAGACACAGCGAGGGCAGAGCTCCTCCTTCATCCGGATTCCTCTCTCGTGTCTCTCCCTCCACAGGAATCGCTTCCCCGTGTTCAAACCCACCAGCCCTCAGTTGGGAACTTCTGTGGTAGAATAGAAAAGAAAAGGCAGATTATCATCAGTTTTACTGCAGACATCATTAATGTATTAGCAAGGTGGCCCAGCATTTAACCGGCAGATTTGGAAACTACATGTAGGTCCCTACATTTCCTGCTTTTTGTGTTGTCCAGGGCTGAGTAATGCAGGTACTGCAGAACCGAAGCACAAACCCATAGGGACAACCCAGAGAGCTTTTGTCAGCTGAGTTACAGCGAGCCAACCACCTGAGGTAGATATATTCACTATGGTTTTCACTTGATTCTGCACTTGCAGCCTGGCAAGGGGACAGAGAACAATAATGTGGATGAAGGATAAATAACTCCCTTTTGACTCCCTCATCTCACAGCCTGTGTGCAGCTTTTCGCTGCCCGGGCTGACATCTACAACATTTAAGTGCAGCAGTAGTTCATCTACATGATGGAAGTGCCAAATTTATCACCCAGTTTGGATACTTGAGTAAAACAAAGCACAGAAATGAAGAGGACTTTTGTCGGGAGCAGCATTGTGACTCGAGTACTGCAGACCCAAAGATCTGCTCAGGGCCCCCTGAATAGAGTGGTACAACCCCAAATTAGAAAAGGTTAGGGAGGTATGTAGAATCAAAATTAAAACAGAAAATAGTGATGTGGAAATCAGGACTAATATGCAGCTACATCCATAAATGCCACTTAAAACTGTACTGTGCCAAAAGGAAGCCCTACTGTATGTCAACAGTGTCCAGGGGTGCAGTCGACTGCTCTGGGCTCGGAAGCATCTGGAACGAACCATTCAGTATCTTTGGATTTTGGGACTGTTGGTTGGACAAAACAAGATATCTGAAGATGTCCCTTTTTAGACACTGGAAAAATGTGATTATCACTCATTCATTTTTGCTAAACATATTATTATATCATTAGTTGCAGACCTAGGTCAGTGACAGGTGTGACTCATTACCAAACTACAATTTTCCACTTCTTTCAGGTCACAGTTTGTCTATTTGAACTTTGTGCTCTCTCTCTCACTGCTGGCTACCCCTTTGTGCTTCTCCTAAGTGATTTCCTGCTTTTATTGGAAAATAAATGGGAGCCTGATATTCAGTGTATTTTTACCTTCAGCAATGTGTGGGCGTATACACAACTGTGACATCTCACTCACTCTCCTGTTGATGTGGCAGCACATATTACTCTCCTGTCATTCTTATTAGTAGATGGAGTCCAGGGACTTCAGATAATTCCCATCACAGCAACTTGAGCAGAATAAAGCACCTGTGTGGTTGTGCAGGGCCTTTAAGGGCAACAGCAGATTTTTTCTTCATGAGTTAGTAAGCAGTGTGAATGGCACTGAGAGCGCACTGCTGAATGTTTAATAGAATCAATTATCCCTCAGCAGCCACCCCCAACTCTTTAGGCAGGACAGGCTCGGCTAAAAATGGACACATCTTCAACAGGAGTTGACAACTAGACAGACAATGAAGGGTATGTCTGCAAACAGCAGACAGGGTGAATGAAATGATTGGGGAGAAGAGAGAGGGTAAAGGGCAAAGAATGGCAGGTTATTAAAAAGACACAGACACCCAGTGCCAAATGTTAGCTGAGTGTACATGGAGAAGAACCAAGTCTAATGCAGCTGACATTAACCTGCATAAATGTGGTTTCTGGTCTCCTGATGAATACATTTTTAGAGCTACTGCACACTGTCAAATGTCTTTAAAGGTAGCAGTGTGTCAGTGAAAAGAAATCCAAGTGTCTCTACATTAATCTCCTTTTCAGAAATCAGAATAAGCTTTTCTCAGAACATGAGTCATATCAGAACAAATAGACTCCCACTGGTACTGTAGCAATAAATGTGTGTAAATGATTTACAACCCCCTTTTCTCTATTGTTTCTATACACACTCACACAAGATTCAGACAATTTGGGACTCTCAAAGCGGGCCTCAGCTCAGTAACAGAATGAGAACCTGAAAAACACATGGTTCAACCTTAGGTACCTTGGACCACACTTCCTTTTATGGAGATGATGCTTTTGTAATTGTGTCTCTTGCACCCTATAATAAATATTCATTTTATGTCGTCACCCACTCAGCTCTCACAGGGGCTCATAAATCACCATCAGAGACATCCTACACAGGATTAATGAGCAAGGTGTAAAGAGTACATGTCTGACAGACACTGATAGCATCACAACCTCCTGCTGGAAATCCTCCATTTGTCTCTTCATTTTCCTTCTCTCCCCTTTCCGTTTTCTACCATTTTTTTTATTTACTTCTCTCTCTTATATAAGCTCTCTCTCCATCTCCTTGAAATAGCAACACCATTCTTTTACCCAGCTGGGCCTTGTCACTGTGTGCCTGGTCACTTCTCACCTGCCTTTCAATTCATTCTGACTACAGAGAAAGCATACAGGGGTGAGCTCAGTCTAAACTCTGCGTTCTGAGTGACTGCAGCACATCCATCTCATTGCAAAACATCTGTCAGTGACCACAGCGTAGGTATATTTACTTACTAGCAGACCATCTGTGCAGTAAACAAATGACTTAACCTCCTGCAACGACGTTGGCAACATGTTGTTTCTGCTCTGAAAGACTGTTAATGATCCTGAAAGTTGGCAGAAAAAAGGAAAACAAATCAGTTCTTCCTCATTAAAATACAACTGAACTGAATCTAAACTATGCATGTGAATGGTGCTTAAATTATGTTCTAATAAAAGCTACAGTTCACCAGCATCCTTGAGATTTATTCTGCGATGGTGTGGTTCTAATACAAAATAGTCCTGTCTCTTTTGCTTATTTTCCTTAAATCTGCCAAGCTTCAAGTTTTAGCACTCACTTCCACATGCAGTGCCTTATCTTCCCACACAAATGGGGGCCGAAGCCCATCCCAGCTGACATTGGGCTAGAGGTGAGGTACACCCTGGACAGGTCTGTTGTCACTATTGCTCTTTAAAAATGTAATTGGTCATGATTGTTCCTCTCTCCATTAAGCTTATAACGTATTCCAAGTCCTTTCACTCTGTTGAGTGTAATGGTATCTTCCACACATACATGAGAACTTAAAACATTACCGTTTAGCCAGCAATAACTTTCTACACATCATAAACCCCGTCCTTGTCTCTGCCACTGTTCCATCTTCAGCAGTGCATTCAACTTGTTTCCTTCATAATGCACCTTGCCTGTGTGTGGACTGGAACTCCACTTATCATTTTTAAGCAGTATACAAGAATAAAATATTTACACTATAATGTCAAACACATAAATCACATTTAAATGTTTGTAAATGTGCAGTATTTATCAACAGTTCTTTGCTGCTTACAAATAAGTGTCAATATTTGACACTTTAGCTTGAAACATGTTAACTGATACTAAAGTCGTCTTAATATTCTGTCAGGTAGCTAATTATTAGCTGTTAATTGTTCAAGATTAACAGTTGCTTAATGTACAGACAGAAATGGGAAGGTTTTGGTTAACACCCACCACCTCCAGGCCTAAGGTCTATGTCAGCATAATAAGGATGAAGGACATTAGATTAAAGTATTAAGTGTCTCTAAAAGTGCACAGATAGGAATTAGTTTGAAAAGAACAGCACTTTAGATGTATATACCACATTAAACTGTTGTGTAATGCAGCCATAGATAAGTACAAGATGTGATTCTGCTGATTCTAGCTGGATGAAAATACAGCAATGCAAGGGGAATGAGGATTAAACATATTATATCAATGTGATACTGGTCATAAATATAACAGTTTAGCAGGTATTATCCCTGGGAAGATATCCCTCTCACCTGCAGAAAACAAATCAGATCAAATATTTGATACAGAAGATAATCTGCAGAGGAGGTCCAAAAGGAATGAAGGAAGAAGGAAAAAGTGAGAGAGAAAGGCAAGAAATGGAGTTGGTGGCAGAACAGAGATAATAAATCCTCTTGTCACAGAAGGAAAACAGATCGAGAGGAAGAAACACAAACCCAAATGGCAGAGGAGATTTATTTCCAAGCACCACACAGGGCCAGTCAGCCAGAGAGATGGAGCCACCAGACTTATAAAGAGATGTATGAATTTCTACCACGACTCAACTGAATTAAATTTTTACATTTAACGGGCTTATGGAGAGCTACAGAGCTCGGCTCTGTGGAGGGATGGGCAGAGTAAGGTACCGCGTCCTTGAAAATGGGCTCTTAAGACTAGAGGATATAAGAACTTCAAACTGTGTCTTTACTGTATGTATGTGTATATGCGCTGCAGAAGGCTGCCTCGGTTCTGTCCCGGAAACAAATTCCTTGTGTGTAACATACTTGGCCAAATAAAGGTGAATATTATTACTATTTACATTGAAGGTTTCCTGTGCCTGGGGTCCATGAGACGCAGTGTGTCCCTGATCACACCCACTTTGACCTCTTCATCCACTGGACTGGGAACATATCCAAAAACCCCTGGTGCCACCTGAATAAACACAAACATTTATAAGTACAAAGCAAAAAACTATGACAGTACAGAAATACAGTTGCTGATTTTCATGCTTACCTCCTGCTCATGCTCTATTCTCATACTGGGATTGGAATTGACCTCTAGTAGTACTGGCTTCAGGTTCTTCATCAGCAAGATGTCAAAACCTAATATCTGAGACACATACAGTGGGTACGGAAAGTATTCAGACCCCCTTAAATTTTTCACTCTTTGTTATATTGCAGCCATATGCTAAAATCATTTAAGTTCATTTTTTTCCTCATTAATGTACACACAGCACCCCATATTGACAGAAAAACACAGAATTTTTGACATTTTTGCAGATTTATTAAAAAAGAAAAACTGAAATATCACATGGTCATAAGTATTCAGACCCTTCGCTGTGACACTCATATATTTAACTTAGGTGCTGTCCATTTCTTCTGATCATCCCTGAGATGGTTCTACACCTTCATTTGAGTCCAGCTGTGTTTGATTATACTGATTGGACATGATTAGGAAAGCCACACACCTGTCTAAGACCCTACAGCTCACAGTGCATGTCAGAGCAAATGAAAATCATGAGGTCAAAGGAATTGCCTGAAGAGCTCAGAGACTGAATTGTGGCAAGGCACAGATCTGGCCAAGGTTACAAAAAAATTTCTGCTGCACTTAAGGTTCCCAAGAGCACAGTGGCCTCCATAATCCTTAAATGGAAGACGTTTGGGACGACCAGAACCCTTCCTAGAGCTGGCCGTACGGCCAAACTGAGCTACCAGGGGAGAAGAGCCTTGGTGAGAGAGGTACAGAAGAACCCAAAGATGACTGTGGCTGACCTCCAGAGATGCAGTCGGGAGATGGGAGAAAGTTGTAAAAAGTCAACCATCACTGCAGCCCTCCACCAGTCAGGGCTTTATGGCAGAGTGGCC